CTAACTAACTGACTAAGTGAATAACTAACTAACTAACTAACCAACTAACTAACTAACTAATCAATTAACCAGCTAGCCAACAACAGCATCCAACTAACTAATTAATCATCGTGTTGCAAATTGAGTGGTCATTTTTTATGCTTCAAAATAAATCCAATCAACCAGAAGTCGGAAAATAGCAAAAATTTTTTTTGTTAATTTCGGGGAAGTGAAAAAAAAAACTAAATAAAACAAGTGTGTCACAACTTCTTCTTTTTATTACCTTGATCAATAATTCCGTTTAAATCCTGCAAAAAAATTTTGGTATATTTCGACCTCCTTCTTTTCTTTTTGCTTCATTAAGCGACCAAAAAACATACTCAACATCAACAACAAAAATTAAAAAAAAAAATCTATGGAAAACACTACTCTATCAACGTAAAAAAGCATAGAGAAAATCAATAGAAAATGGCAGAGGTTGCACGAGGACCAACAATTTTCAATTTCTTATTTCCCTTTCAACATGCATCCATTCACTTCATTCGCTTCCCAAAACCCCTCATTAATGTTCCAGCAAAATGTCAACTTCGGTGAAGACTTCATTTCATCAACTCACTTTTTGTCACCTTTTTTTCTTTTTTGTTTTTTGTAGTCACAAATGGTGTTGTATTTTCGTGTTATTATTGCAAGTAGAAAGAAAAAAAAATCGATGACTGAGAAAAAAAAGAAAAGAAACAACGATGCAACAGAATCAAGTTCAACGTTCATCAATATTTGTCTACACCTCACTGAGCTCCAAAAATAACAACGCACAATAATAGACAAATACATAAAACCAACAAACCGACCAATGTATTTTTCTTTTTGGTTTGTAGAGAACCGTTGCTATTGCCGTTGCTGCTATTGATGCTGCTGCCGCCGCCGTAGCTGGCCAACTAAAGCGCCTGGCTAAGACGGCTATCCAGGGACCGGCCAAAGCCGACGACTTCCTACTGCAAAGTTTAAAACAGCCGTTAGTTTGGTTGAGCTTTACACTACTGACGGCCTTTATAACGGAAAATCTCCCAATACACCAATCTGCAAAACCCCAGATTCCCCCTGTCTTCTACCCAGTTTCCCAGGCTACTCCGCCGGCAGACCGGTGCACTCCCATTGCAGCTTCACATCAATTTATATAACGCCAAGGAGCAAAGATGATTTTAAACTTCTTTCCGTTTCTACAATTTATGCTTCTGAATCAGACTAACAAGCCCACTTCGCCAAGCCAGTTCCCTCCATTCCCCCTCTCCCCCTAACCAACTTACCATCTAGTCCGTTCTTTGTTTAGCCAAATTTCTGTCATTTTCAACTGCCATATAGTCTGCCCTGTACAAATTTTGTTCCTTCTCAAAATTTTGTTAATTTCCACTTTTTTCTCCCCTTTTACAGCTGATAACGCATCAAATTTTATCGCAAATGTACATCATTTTTTCGCCGCCACTTAAAGAATGAATAAAGAAATCGACAAAAAAAAAATTCCGGTTGTAAATCCGTTCAAAGAAGAAAAATTAAAAGTAAATCTTATTTTTTTCACCAGCTCGTCTCCACCAAGTATATTTTTTTTCTTTATTCTGTTCCAGCCAATATATAACTATTCTATTAATTGGTCACTAGGTTTACCAACTAAATGGGGAAACTGCTTTTGCTATCGTCATTGTTTTGGATTAATGAACTATAAGAACAAATTTTAATTCCTAATTGCCTTAGCTAATTGATTTTGACCTATAACAAACAATACAGCTAGTTATCGTTCCGGCATTCTTCAACACGTAAAAAGTAAACCAGGAGCGATGGGATAATGAACGACATGCACATTGCTCAGACGGAAGGACGACGACTAAGCGTCCCATCGTGTAACAGCACCGGTTCACTCACAACGGTTAGCGATGGTAAGGCTGCAGTGCGCGAAAAAGCGTCGTATCATGGGGGTCCATTGGTGTGGCGTGTATCGGAGGGTTCATCGTTGGCAATCGTTGGTTGCCGCTGTTGTCGGATGAATGCGTGAGCCGGCGGTGGAAGCCGGATGAGCTAGTAGTTAAGGATGGGATCGTCATATTCGGCATGTGTTCGTTCTTTCGCCCTCTCCTAATATTGATCTTTAGTTGTGAGTTGTTTTGTCAGCTATGAGGACAGATAATTTTAACGTGAAAAATCAGATCACTGGTAATTTTTTGCAGCAGTTGGCATATGGGGGAAGTAGGAACAAGAAGAAAAAAAAAACCAAGCTGATTTTCATTTATTTAGTCTGTTGCTGTTATTGCTTTTACTGCTGCAATTGAAACAGTTAATCCTTTTTATAACCACTGCACAGTACACTCTCTTATTGTCGATGATAAATTACAGCAAAAAAGAAACTTTTTTTTATGGACTAAATTTGACAAGAAAAAAAAATTTTTTTAAACAATTTATTGCCAGTTGTATATATCTCTTTCGACCACTGTTATTTCAGACAGTAAAATCTAACAGCCAAAAAAAAAAAAAAATTATTTTTTTGATCAAAACATTTTCATTTTCAAAATGAATAAACAGGCAAAATAAAATCAAAAATCATAAAGGAGAAAAAAAAAGCAGCAAAATTGAAAAGCTGCAGACCGAAAGAAAAAAAAAAAAAAGGAAGAAAAAAAGCAAAAAGAAACAAAATGGAACAGAAAACAGAAATAAAACAAATAAACACGGATTGCTGCTGTTCCAACACAAAGGTTAATTATTATTTACGGAAAATTAATAATATTTTTTTGAGTATAAAAAAAATCAGCACATATTCTTTTGCTTTTCTTTTGTTTGTTTCACGAAAAATTTTACAA